GCCGCGTTGCTGGTTTGCGGTCCCCACCTCCTCGCGTCCGTAAGCAGTGACGAGACCGCTACGTAAATCCCTTCGCGGTGGGTAAGTGGCGCGCTGGTCCGGACTAGAGACCCAGGAGCTGGGACGCGGCGCAGGAGGCGGAGGCAGAAGGGAGGAGGCGGGGCCGAGCCCAGGCTGGGGCAGCGGGTGCGGGGCAGCGGGCTTTCCGGCCTCTTCGGGAGGCCTCCCCGCCGGCCCGGCTTCCGGCCCCGGTCCACTGCCTTCGTCCGCTGCCCTCGTCCGCTCTCGTTCGCCTCTGCGTTGGCGGTACAGCGGCCCGGAGCGTGGGGCTGCTCGCCTGCGCTCAGCCTGACCTCTTTGAACTTGGTACACGTTGGAAAAGTCTTTCTGGAAAAGCCTTCTTGCTCTGAACGGTCCTCACTCTGAAAAGAAAGAGGAAGCAAGAAGTCAGGACGATGGTTTTATTTGTCACAGCTGACCATGAGTAGCACCCGTGTCCATGTTTTATGTGCTCAGTTGGGATATAAATTAACATTAACCCGTTTTTTCACCGAAACATGAACCTGAGGGACATCGCTTTTGACTCATTTTGAGCCCCAGACATGATCTGATGAGATAATGCGAAGAAAGCAAATCCGCCTTAAATCGCGGTTTTTCTTACTGTTTACTTTTGATTTTTGTCTTTTTATGGCCACCTAGTAAGGTTCCCAGAACATGCTGAACAGGAAATACATTGTTAACATAGCTCTTTATTCTACTGCTATGTCCAGTCTACCGGAGCCCTGAATTTGAAATCACCTACCTGTTTCTGCACTGTCAGTTTCCGGCCAGAAATTCTGACTTACAGGATCAGCTTGAAAGTCTGACTAAAACTGAGAGGCTCCTCCAACACTGCGGTTTACCTACATGGCTTGCATAGAATTTCTTTTCTGCTTAATATGTGGGGCCTCGGAGAGTGCAGCCACCTTCCCATGACATAAATAAAAATCTAGGTGCACAGCGACAGAGGTGCAGTGTGAAAATTGTATTAGATTACGTTAATGACTCATGTTCTCTATTTTAGGTGCCACAGTTTTCTCTCAGTATTTATACTCTTTTTGGGTGACAAGCTGCTTTCCTTTCATAAGTCAGAGTAGTCTTTAAACCTTTGACTTAAAGTAACTTTTTTTTCTCCAAAGGAAAGCAATTACAAACAATGTATTTTGGCCAATGAATACTATGTATTAAAAACTAATGTTTACGGAACTAGTACTTACTGATCCAAACATAACTTTTAAAGAGATATTTAAGTGGATGTGATCCTGGATGAGTAAAGACTGAAAGCATTGTCATAGAAAGTGTTGATTATTACTGAAAACATTTTTGGTGAATTTGTAAATAGATCAATGTTAAGCATATGTTTTCCCAGTGACTTTCTGGTCAACCTGGAATTGTTTTGGTGAGTGTGAAGCTGTAATTACACTGTTTTGTGTACATATTTTTGTAAGAGTATATGAATAAATTTTTATTGGATGTGGAAACTCCGAGGAGCTATTTAATCGTTTTGTTTTTGCATTGTCCTGGAAAGGTAATGAAATTTGCATCTGATGAATTTAACAAACTCCAGACTCCATAAATTACTCTAGTTTCCTACTGAGACAAGTCATTCCATGATTAAAATATGAGATATTGTTTAGAGTGGTGGCTATTTCATAGAAAGTAGGGAAGAGTTCAGATTATTAACATCTATGTATAAGGAATCCTGACTAAATCTTTACCAGTGTACACATATATTTCTGATTCTGACTGTTTTCCCCATCTTGATATTTTCTGCAAGTAAGTACACTCAAACCTCAGTTCTCAAAGGTCTCCCACCTCAAACAGCTCGATTCTCGACCAAGTTGTACATGAAAAAATGCCAGGTTAACTTTGGTTCTTGACCTAACAACCCTTTCATGCTGATGTATCAGCATGACAAAAAATGTCTCTCTGGCCACAAAGGAGAGAATTTGCTACTATGAGGCAGTAAACAGCTAAATCTTGCCTGGTTAACATCTCAGGAAATTGTGCTGTGAACTTTTTTTTTTTTGCTTTTATTTCTGGTGAAATGGATGATTAGCACAATTTTAAAACATAAAGAGGACATCAAGAGTAGTTAATGTTGCTAAGGGTGTGAAAGAAACGATAACAATGATCACAGGCAATTGAAGAGGTAGAAAAACTATTGGTGATTTGGATAAACCAAAAGCAGTTAGCTGGTGTCAGCTTTTCTGAGTCAATGATACATAAAAAAGTGAAGATGCTATATCTGACTTCCCGAAAGACCCCTAGACCCAGTGCAGAAAGTGATTTGGTTAAGGCTAGTACGGGTAGTCTGATAAATTTAAGAAAGTAAGTATTTGTTTATAGACTGAACTGTACATTAGACCTGTACTGTATATAAGAAAGGTTAAAAACAATCATTTAGGGGTCTGGAATGAATTAATTCAATTTACATTATTTCTAATGGGGAAACGATTATTCGGTTTTTGAACAAATTGCTTCTTGAATAGCCTCCCAGAGGGATTAAGTTTGAAAATCGAGTTTCTACTGTATTGGGCCTGAAAATTAAGCCATGTTTATTGCTGAAGTGGGTAAAAAAGCACTCAAATGTCCTGTTCCATTTAGATAGACTTAAAAACATAAACAAAAAACCTGAACAATGCAAACACTTAACACCTGAACCATTGATATTTGACATTAAGGAAATAAGCCTGAAATGTTGCCTTCTGTTAAGTATTTCTACTTTATTGAACTGATGGATTCCATATATAAAAGTCAACTTTGAGAAGAGTTATTATTGTGCACTGAATGTTATTTCAATATTTTTAATACAAATATATAGATTATGAAAATGTAGATTTCAGGGAAAGTGTTTCTCACTCGTTTCACGTAGGTAGTTATAAACATTTAAAATCATTTTGTTAACACATTTCGTACCACTCAGGAGTTTTCTCGTGTTTTGCGCGCCATCTGTTAAGGACCTCTCAGGAGTGTTGTCGTTTTTTTTCACGCCCATGGAAAAAGGAGCGAATCTAGATACTTATGTAAATTTTGTTTGGTCCCTCTTCATAGAGGAAAATGTTTTACACAGTACCATACCTTAAAAAAGTACTAGGAACTTTAATTGTTTAATTGTTTTTGTAAATAAAAATGTTATAATTATTGAAAAACAACACCTAAAGTGCATTATGATGATTTAAATAACGTGCAGTTTGCCCCAAAATGTGCGGTCCCTGGCGTATGTCTTAGAGATTTCTATGTGGTATGCAATGTGTTAATTTCCTTTTAAAGAATACATAAGGTATTTAAAATACTTTTACCATAGGAACTTCTCAATAAACAGTGCTGTTAAAAGTAAACACTTTAACTTCATGGGTTTTCTTTCTTTCTTTCTTTTTGTTTTTTTAAAATACATTTTATTGATTTTTTACAGAGAGGAAGGGAGAGAGACAGAAGCATCAATGAGAGAGAAACACCGATCAGCTGCCTCCTGCACATCTCCTACTGGGGATGTGCCCGCAACCCAGGTACATGCCCTTGACCAGAATCGAACCTGGGACCTTTCAGTCCGCAGGCCAACACTTAGCCAAACCGGTTTCGGCTTGCTTTCCTTCCTTCCTTCCTTCCTTCCTTCCTTCCTTCCTTCCTTCCTTCCTTCCTTTCTTTTTTTTAATGCTCTCGGATATCCGATAGAGAATTAGGGAGAATGAGGAGGAAAACCTAAGGATAACATTAGTGGGAATTTATATTGATATTATTCATGAAGACTCCTTGAGTCTTATTGGTACAATTCAGTTATAGCAAAGTTTAAAAATAAAATATTTTGCACATCTCTTCACTGGCCTTCCTAAGAGTGTTGGAGAAAATTACTGGCAAGGTGTAAGTGAAACAATTTTGAGGTAAAGCATCGGCTAGGAAGTTATATGGGAGTTTTGCTTAAAGAATGTTTAAATAAACCGTCTCCCTAGTGATGGATGATGCTTGTCTCCAAGGAAATCTTACTAGCAACTCTTTTGTGAGGTTCTTTTGAAGCCTGCCAGTTCTCCTAAAATAGGAAGCATCTTTATACATATTTTTCTGAACAATGTACAACCAGACAAATTAATTGTTAAAATAAAATCCTGTGAAATTTTGACAGTGGGCTAATGTGATTTTAATATTTTACTTTGAGATTTTCACAAACTCAAGTTTCTTCAGTTATCTTAGTGAAGCTTTTTTTTTTTTTCAATTCAGTAGACTTAAAATCAGACCATCCTAACTCACAATGTCAATTATCATAGTTCTGTTCATAATCTCAACCGCATTTTTTTCCCCATTGAGTGCGTGAAAATGTTTTTTGTTTTTTTTTAAATCCTCACCTGAGGATTTTTTTCTCATTGATTTTCCGACAGAGTATAATGGAGGAAGGGGTGGAGGGAGAGAGAGAAACATTGACATGAGAGCAGTATCAATTGGTTGCCTCCTGCACCCACCTGACTGAGGATGGGATCTAACTCACAACGGAGGCATGTGTCCTTGACTAGGAATCAAACCTGTGACCCTTGGGTCCTCGGACCGATGCTCTAACCACTGAACAACTGGCTAGAGCTGTTTTGTTTTGGCTTGGGTTTTTTTGTTGATAAATGTTTTAAGCAGGATTTTTTATGGTAGCCTTGATTATGATGAAAGCTTCTGTTTCTGCAAAGATATAGTTTATTGGGGCAACTATAACTTGCATAAAGACCAGTGTTACTGTATATAGATGCCTGTTAATGTAAAAAAACCCAAACCTGTAAGGAATTTTTGTGAGTTTATTTGAGCCAAACTGTCAACAATTGCCTGGAAGCAGAATCTCAATTTATTGAGATAGTGCTCTGGAGAATGGCAGTTGGGTTACATGAAATCCATTGGTAATAGATCAGGGAGGCGGGAGAAAGCTAAGTGGGGAAACCTCTGGGATTGGATAAAAAGTAAAATGATAGACACATATTTCTTTTACATAGGTGGGCTCAGGATAGCTAACAGTCAACAATTAACATGGTAACTAATAGTGAGGGAATTTGTGGTCTGCACACTGGTGCCATTTGTTGTACCCTGAGGAGTCCAGAAAAAGGAAGTTACAAGTTACCCTAACATTCCACAGGTATGTTATCTTAGATGCAAAAAGACAGTAGGCTCAGTAAAGATTGAAGTTGATCTTTGTCAGGGAAGATACTGGCCTAGGACATGACTACCACTAAAAACTGCTTTTTAATTAAAAGGTTTCAATTTCAGACCATCCTTTGTGATTACCTTAGGTCTCTTGAGTTTGCAAGGCCATTATGCAGGCCTTCCCTGAGTTAGTCAGGTTAGCATGTGGCCCTTTTTCATCCACATGCTATTCTTAAAATTGCTGGAGGAGTTACATTTAACTTATTTAGGCATGTTTTTGCATTTAGAAAGATACCGGTATTGTTCAAATACACAAGATAGGACCAATCTAGGTAAGTATAATAACGTTGTAATTAGTTTCTGAACTTTAAGGTAACTCAAGTATCTTATCTACTCTTTCCCAGCTTTACTGGTTAGTAGTCATTACAGTGGTACGTAATGTATAGACAAATGTTTTGAAATGTACTTAAAATGCAGTAATGAAGCATGCCATTGAAACATAAAACTCTACAACGACTCTAGTCCAGCAAATATCTCTCCCAAGAGATTTTAAATTTTATTGCCCTTCATCAAGTTAGTAGTAGTGGTGGGGGTAGTGTTGTTAGGGGTGTAGACCAGGATTATTTGAATTTATTTACTTTAAAAAATATGTTTTTATTGATTTTAGAGAGGAAAAGAAAGGGAGAGAGATAAATACATCAATGATGAGAATCATTGATCAGCTGCCGCCCACACATCCCCTATTGGGGATTGAGCCTACAACCTAGGCATGTGTCCTAATCAGGAATTAAACTGTGACCTCCTGGTTTATAGGTTGACACCCAACCACTGAACTACACAGGCTGGGATGAATTTATTTTTCATTTTCTCCTTTAGCTGCCCATTCTGGTATTGTTTGTGAAAAAGCCAAAAGCAGGAACCAAGTGGGGAATGGATTGAAAAGAAAGATGCTTGAATAGTTAATCCTTTGGTGATTTTAGTAGAGTTAAGATTTCTTGTATAGTAGGTATCTGAAGCAATTAAGTTGGAGTGTCCCTAAATCTATACTAGAAAGCTGCCCAATTTTATGTATGATTCATGTCCAAAATATTAAGGACATTGTTTACAAGTGTTTTAAGTAACTGTTTACAACCATTGGCTACCTCTATTCTTACACAAAAGTATAGATCACTTGACAGTCATGCTAATTTTGCTTCACAAAGATTACAAACTTTAAAACTGCTGTAATTTCCTTCTACTACAGTCTCCCTTTGTTTTTCTTATGCTCATCACCTTGCTTGAAATGCATAATAACCATAGGCTCATCCCTGTCAATTTCAAATACACACACTTTGGAATTATTTGTCTTCTAGCTAGCCCTGCTTCTTCCAACGTTCTATTCTACTTAGTTGAGAAGGACAACTTTACAATATGAGCTTCAAATTCTTCTTCCTTGATCTTTTAAACCTTACTTGCTATTTTTCTTTTTTTAAATATATATATATATATATATATATTTTTTTTTTTTTTACAATTCTTTGTATTTCTGTGGGGTCTGTTGTTATTTCGCCTCTTTCATTTGTGATTTGGTTTATTTGGGTCCTCTCTCTTTGATACTTGGTGAGCCTGGCTAGAGATTGATCAATCGCGTTTATCCTTTCAAAGAACCACCTCTTGGTTTCATTGATCTTTTGTATTATTTTTTTGGTCTCTATGTCATTTATTTCTGCTCTGCTCTTTATTATCTACTTCCTTCTGCTCACTCTGGGCTTTTCTTATTGCCCTCTTTCTAATTCTTTTTTTTTTTTAATTTAATTTAATTTAATTTAATTTTTATTTTATTTTTATTTTTTTTAATTAAATCTTTATTGTTAAGATTATTACATTTGTTCCTCTTTTTTTCCCCCCATAACTCCCCTCCTCCCAGTTCCCGCCCCACCCTCCACCCTCACTCCCCACCCACTGTCCTCATCTATAGGTGCACGATTTTTGTCCAGTCTCTTCCCGCATCTCCCACACCCCTTTCCCCCCCAGGAATAGTCAGTCCATTCCCTTTGTATGTCCCTGGTTCTATTATAATCACCAGTTCATTCTGTTCATCAGATTATTTATTCACTTGATTTCTTAGATTCACTTGTTGATAGATGCATATTTGTTGTTCATAATTTGTATCTTTACCTTTTTCTTCCTCTTCCTCTTCTTAAAGGATACCTTTCAGCATTTCATATAATCCTGGTTTGGTGGTGATGAACTCCTTTAGCTTTTCCTTATCTGTGAAGCTCTTTCTCTGACCTTCAATTCTGAATGATAGCTTTGCTGGATAAAGTAATCTTGGTTGTAGGTTCTTGGTATTCATCACTTTGAATATTTCTTGCCACTCCCTTCTGGCCTGCAAAGTTTCTGTTGAGAAATCAGCTGACAGTCGTATGGGTATTCCCTTGTATGTAACTGAGTTTCTTTCTCTTGCTGCTTTTAGGATTCTCTCTTTGTCTTTTGCTCTTGGCATTTTAATTATGATGTGTCTTGGTGTGGTCCTCTTTGGATTCCTTTTGTTTGGGGTTCTCCGCGCTTCTTGGACCTGTAAGTCCATTTCTTTCACCAGGTGGGGGAAGTTTTCTGTCATTATTTCTTCAAATAGGTTTTCAATATCTTGCTCTCTCTCATCTTCTGGCACCCCTATAATTCTGATGTTGGTACGCTTGAAGCTGTCCCAGAGGCTCCTTACACTATCCTCGCATTTTTGGATTCTTTTTTCATTTTGCTTTTCCCGTTGGGAGTTTTTTGGCTTCCTCGCATTTCAAATCATTGACTTGATTCTTGCGCTCCTCTGGTCTGCTGTCGGGAGTCTGTATAATATTCGTTATTTCAGTCCGTGTATGCTTAATTTCTAGTTGGTTCCCCAATATAAGATCGAGGGTCTCATTAGTTTTCTTGTAGATCTCATTAAGTTTATCGGCGGCTTCCAAACAGTTCTTGAGAGACCTTAAAAGTGTGGTTCTGAACTCTATATCTTCCATTGACAATTTTGTCCTGTTTCTTTGTCTCCGCATTTTGTTATGCTTCCTTGGTGCACCCCCTAGTGGTCTTTGTTCGCAGTCTTATAGTTAAATCTTGATTGTTGTAGCTAATTCCAGGGAGGGTTTGACCTCCAGGCCAAGTGGCTATGAGAATCAGCTGTGTCAGCAGTGAGAGAACTTCTGTCCTCTAGGGAGGTGCTAATCTGGCGTTTGCCTGAGGCTATCCGGCAAATGCCTGTGTGCAGGGCTTGGGCGGGGCGGGTGGGTCGCTCTGGCTCGGGATCAACAGGGTGGGCCGGAGAGAGCAGTTATGGCGGCTCTCAGTCCTGTCCCCAGGGGCTCTGCCTCTCTGAGTCCCAGCACCCGCTGCAAAGCTCAGAGAGAAAGCTGCACTCGCTCTGACCGAAGCCAGACAGTCCCGCTTCTCCTGTTTGAGTCTGGGTCCCTAAAGACTCGCCTGTATCTGGAGCTCAGAGTCTGCGACTCCCTCCCGATTGAAAACGCCAACCGCGCCCTCCGCCGCCAGCCTGCTCCGCGCACTCCGCACCTCAGAATTTGACTTCAGCACTGTGCCTCCTCTGAGTGTCCGTATGAGTTTCTCTTTCCTCCTAGTTGTAGGACTTCCACTCAGCCAGTGTTCCTGTGGTTCTGGGTGATGTCCCTTCCGTTTTTTGGTTTCACTTTTGAAGTAGTTGTTCAAGGCAGCAAACTCCGGCGTTAACCTATGCCGCCATCTTGGTTCTCTAAATATATTTTTTATTGATTTTTTACAGAAAGGAAGGGAGAGGGACAGAGAGTTAGAAACATTGATGAGAGAGAGAGACATCAATCAGCTGCCTCCTGCACACTCCCCACTGGGGATGTGCCCACAACCAAGGTAATGCCCTTGACCGGAATCGAACCTGGGACCCTTGAGTCCGCAGGCCGACGCTCTATCCACTGAGCCAAACCAGCTAGGGCTTACTTGCTATTTTTCTTAAATCATAGTTAACCTATGAAGATCTACTTTTCCAAAGAACTAAAATCTCCCTTCATTCCAGAACCAAAGAAACAGATTGTGCATTTCTGCGTTCTCTTCCTCTTCCTGCTTCCATAAGAGGTACACTGCCTTTTATTCCACATTCTTTTTAATTTGACTATGGTAATTACAATGGTGGATTTTTTTTAAACTTTTTTGCAAAAAACTATTTCAGTGTGTAATTAGCAATTTCCATTTTTTGGTTTTGAAAGTGGAGCAAGAACTTACATATATACTAGAGGCCCGGTGCACAAAAATTTGTGCACTGGGGGGGGAGGTGTCCCTCAGCCCAGCCTGTGCCCTTTCGCAGTCTGGGACCCCTCGGGAAATAACGACCTGCTGGCTTAGGCCTGCTCCCGGGTGGCAGAGGGCAGGCCCAATCCCTAGGTGCAGCCCCTGGTCGGGCTCAGAGCAGGGCCGATTGGGGAGTTGGGGCGCCGCCCCGTCATGCACAGAGCAGGGCAGATTGGGAGGTTGTGATGCCACCCTCAGTCACGCTCAGGGTAGGATCAATTGGGGGGTTGGGGCACTGTCCCCTGTCACACTCAAGGCAGGGTTGATGGGGAGGTTGTGGTGCCACCCCGTCACGCACAGAGCAGGGCCAATCAGGGGGTTGGGGCGCTGCCCCCGTCACACACAGAGCAGGGCCCATCAGGGGGTTGGGGCACTGCCCTCTATCACCCACAGAGCAGGGCTGATCAGGGGGTTGGGGCGCCGCCACTCTCACACTCAGGGCAGGGCCGATGGGGAGGTTATGGCTCTACCCCCTCACACACAGAGCAGGGCCCGTGGGGGGGGGAGGTTGGGGAGCTCCCCCCTATCAGGCACAGAGCAGGGCTGCTCAGGGGGTTGGGGCCCCGCCCCCTGTCACACACAGAGCCACAGGGCGATCGGGGTTTGGGCGCTGCCCCCTGTCACACTGATCCTGGTGCCGGGAGGCATATTACCCTTTTACTATATAGGGTAGAGGCCTGGTGC